GAAGAGATTTAAATAAAGAAAAAGTAAAAAAAAAAAAAAGAGAAAGAAGGAAAGAGAGAAATAGAGAGAAGAAAGATAAAGGAGAAAGAAAGTGAGAAAGAGAGAGAGAAAGAAACAAAGAAACAGAAAAAGAGAAAAAGAGAAAAAAGAGAGAAAGAAAGAGAGAGAGAAAGAGTGAGATTGAAAGAAAAAAGAAAGAAAGAAAGAAGAAAGGAAGAAAGAAAGAAAGCGTAAGACAGAGAGAAAGAAAGAAAGAAAAAAAAAGTCTTAAGATAGAGAAAAGGAAGAAAAAAGGAAGAATAAAGGAAGAGAGAAAGAAAAAACAAGAAAAACCACATGTAAAGCCACGTAGTTTTCCCCATTTGGAATCTGCCCCTACTGGGACAGAGGCAAAGGGGGGGATTTTCCCTTCCAACATTCAGCAAAGTGCTGCTTGGTGGAGAAAATACAGGGAGACTGTTCCATGCAGAAGGTTTTGGGAGATAGCACCTGGCACAAGGTTTGCTACAATAAGTTGGTTATTCTTTATTGCGTTGGAAATACAACAGTCATGGAAAGTCCTGCATTAATCCACAGCCATGGCCTGCAAAATCTCCCCCTCACCTTGACTTTGCTGAATATTTTCAGGGTTTAGGGCTTGAGAGGGTTTTTTATCTTTTTTTTTTTTTTTAATTATTTTTTGGGGGTTTAAGGATGGAAATGAAAGCTGGTCATGGGATTTGTTCTTCTTAGGGGCAGGAAGGGGAAATTGTCTATACAGAGGTTCTTTGGATGGGTTGTGGTGAGGATGAGATTGAAGGGTGAGCAAAACAGGGTGCTCAGCTTGGAAACCAGTGTAATACTTTTGAAGAGGACTTTTGTCTAACTCTATAACGTGGTCCTTTGAGCAAATCAAAGCTTGGTAGACAACTAGAAGATGAGCATCTTTCTGGCAGCTGGTGGAGAGCCGTGCCATGAGTTATTTCTGTGGGATTCTGGTAATTTCTATCAGGTATTTGGTTAATTCCTCAAATGGAAACATTTTCATGAGATGAGGGAGGAGGATGCACCACTGGAGACTGAATTTGCAGGAGGCTGCTCTAAAAGCCAACTTCCTTTTGATGTGTGTGGGGCCATGAGGAGGCAGGTGGACCAAGGGCAAGGGGACACTACATGTCCATAAATCCAGATTGCATCTCTCAAGGAGCAAACTCTTTCCTAACAGGGCACAGCTCCTTCTCCCAGACGTGTTGGAGACACAGAAGGGCAGCTCTGCAGAAACAAAACTAACAGGAAAAGCTCTGGTAAGGAATTGAGGACTGATGTCCTCCATCTGAGGATGCTCCACAACCCTGAGGGGTCTGAAGTCACTGATCTCACAGCCTTTGAAATTAAAAAATTTCCAAATAAAGACCTCAGACTCAGGATCGACTGAATTCCTCTTAAAGGAAGATCCACTGAGCACCACGCCATGAACCATCAACCAGGTGATCTCCTCTCACCAGAGAGCCGGTGCTTGGGCATTTCCACTGTTTTACTGGACCTGGAACAAAGTAAGGATAAAGCTTACCAAGCTGGGGAGACGACCACCACGAGCAGCTTTTCAGATGCAGCCAATCCTACAACAAATCACAGGATTTGGAGTCAGCATCAAGGCCACAAGCCGGGATCCATCAAGCTGTACGATCTGGCCCCAGGACAGTGCATATTTCTGCATGCCAGGCAAGGATTCCTGCCAGTGCCTAATGCCAGGCTGCTTGTTTCTGTCCAGATTAAAATCAGTTAGAACATCAAGCAGCAAAATCAGAGTGTAACTCATTTGTGGAGATCAGGGAAGACTGGAAGTTAATTGGTCAATGAGTAGAAGGAGAGAGGCATGGAGTTGTCTTGTTTCTGGAGCTCGGAAGGAAAGATTTGTTCCCTATCCTCCTGTGTGAAAAGAGGACTTTGAAAGCTTCCAGGAAAAAAAAGCTGATGAAAGGAAACTGGAAAAGTTTAGGTTACTCAGACAGCTCAATGCCCAGCATGGTGTGAGAGGGGAACTGCCCTGAAAAGGGAAATTAAGTGACTCAACCTGCCTTCTCTGGTCTTGGTGAGGACTCGGCTGGGATTTGTGCATGTTATACCTTTGCTAGGCTCCCCCAAAGGTGTGACCCACACCTCTTGCACCAGACTGTTGCATAGAGTCGCCGTGAGCTGGACGGGTTCACCCCAGAGGCGGCGGCGGGTCGGTAACAGTGCTCTGCCACTTCTCAGGCTGCACAAGTGAGATCGTGTTAATTATGCTGGAAAAGCCCTTTGAGACCCTCTGGGATGAAGATCACGAAGAAGTTGGGTAGCTCTATGTATCTAAGTCTTGCTCTGTCTGATTTTTGGGAAAGGCCACTGGAGATTTTTTCAGGCATTGAGAGACAAGAGCGTTCATATCAGCATTGACCAGCACAGGGAGGGCAATCTCAGGAGCCATTCATGGTCAGTAAACCCAGCAAATTTAGATGGTGTTGGTGCAGTTCCTTCTGGAGGCTTGGAAATGTCCCCATCCTGGTGTTTCAGCAGAAGCAAAGCCCGGGGAAAACTGGGAAGAGGTGTGGTGGGGGCAGGAGATGTGAAAATGCTCCTTGCTCATGTGATTGCCTCTTGGATGTTTGGTCCTGGCTCTCACGACGTCCATCAGCCAGGCTTAGCTCTGCAGGACACAGAGCCAGCTCCTCTGGAACGTGGAAGGTTTGTGCTTCTGGAAGGGAGCGTGGAGCTTATTGCGAGTGCTGAAGGCTCATCGTGCTTCTCATGGTGGCAAGGGCTGGTTGTCTGCGTTATTTCAGCAGCGTGGGGTGGCTGCCCCAAAAAGCCAAATTCATCCACTAGAGAGCTGGGAGAAACCCCAGGGGGTGCCTGCTGCGATCCTGATAAAACACACACTGCCAAGAGGGGAAAAAAAACCCAGCCTTTTTTCCTTGGGAAAGGAGCAAATCCTGCCCTCATAAAACCCCTCTGTCATCAGAGACCACCAGGCCTGGTGCCGGTGTCCGACTGGAGCAAGACACTGGGGTCCTCCTGGTCCCAGTGGCACCTACAGCCTGGCCTGGGGGTGAGATCCCAAAGGAAAGTCAAACCTGGACTTGACAGCAAATTAAATGGAACGCAACTGAACCGCGACTGTGATGCAAAACATCATTTTGCCGGACGAAACGCAGTTTCCACAACCTGGTTTTAAGGAACAGTTTTACACAGAGATAGATACACTATGCTAGATCTTGAGAAAATAATAATAAAAAAAAATTAATTAAATAAAAAAAGAGAAATCAATATGCTAAATAAACTAAGACATACAGTATAGGGGATATTCTGATCAACAAACCAATCACCATTAGAATCAAAAAGTAAACCAGCCTTTCACTTAGGACCCTAACAACATTTCTCAATGCACTAAGTACATTTTAAACCATGCAAGTTTACACAAACATCTTAACTAGGTTTTTTTTTTTTTTTTACTTTTTAAAACACCAACATTATGCATTTCTTTGTTAATTATATTGGTTAAAGTTGCAGCCGTTCACTGCCAAATATCAGATACATCATATACATATTTTTATACAGAATCTGGACAACACAACATTACACAGCCTAAATAGAGAAAAAAAGATTACTTGTTCCTTTGTTTGTTTGTGTTTTTTTCAGTTTTGTAAAAAATATGAAATGGTGATAGGAAGGAGGGAGAAGGTGTGGGAAATCTTCTACCAAATTAAAGGATTATATCAAAATAATTCCCGAATCACAGTACAACAAGGAAAAAATAATGGTTCAAACTCAGCTCCACATTTAAGCTTCTCTTAGCTAAGAAACAAGACTTTACACACAGAATGTATCAGTATTTAAAAACAGAAAGAATTTCAACACCATGCTGTCTGATTCCAAACACATCTTAGTTAAAAAAAAAAAAAAAGTTTAAAAAGGGGAAGAAAACAAACCCAATAATTACTCAATAAACTTAGTGATCGCAAAGTTATCTCTATATTGGTTTGGATTTCCTACCTACTCATGATGCATTGCTGGGTGGTGGAGCTGGAGGTGGCCAGAACAACGCCAGGATAAAGGAATGACTCGGGAATCGCTCGCCGGTCCTGTTGTCGCACGGTCGGGGCAGCTGGAATTCTGAACGGGGTCTGAAACCATCCCAAGGGTTTGGGGTTCTCTGCTTTTCCTTCTACTCGGCTCGTTCGGGCTCTTGGACAAGAGCAGGGGGTGCCCTACTCGGTTCCCATGGCCAATTCCCTGCCCATCCACAGGGAGCAATGCATGGGTTTGGTTACACATGGAAAGGAAACAGAACCTGGAAATCAACCATGGAGGATGCTGTCGTTGACATGGCAAGTCATACAAAAATGCTAAAATTTCAGATATAATCAAAGATACAAAATCAGTTCTGACAAGTTTTGTGGGTTTTTTTATATAGTTTTTTCTTTTTTTTTTTAATTTTTTTATAGTTTTTTTTCTTTTTAATAGCAACCATTACAGTGCAAGGTTTTAAAAGTTATTATTACAGTAAAAGGTGTGTATCTGGTTTTACAGTAACTGTAGCACTGATTTTTGTTCTGTATAGTAGGTCCCTGATGTAAAGTGTATGCACCAGTTTGAGAGAAAAAACCCCGCACCATAACGGCTCTTTAGCTTTAAATACATTTTTCTCTTTTCTTTTCTTTTTTTTTTTTTTTTAACAGATACAAAATAACACATCAAGTTCACAAGTTTCACAAGCACGGACTTTTGCCTCAATAAAAAGCATGAAAACTTTGCCGAAACCCCAACATTTTAAAGAAACGTGAAAACCGGTCGATGAGGGACGCGGGTGTGCGTTTGAGTGCCGGTGTTCTGCCACCCCACTGAGCTCCTGGAGGTCACAGATGATTCTGTGCTCTCCAAACTGCTGCTTCGTGCTCACTCACCAGTTGGTTGGTTGTTTTTTTGATTTTTTTTTTTGGCCAGGCAAACTGGTGTTCGGCTTCCCACAGCTGGGATTTGAGTTTGTGCATTTGATGTTATAAAAAAAAATCTACTTTTTTTTTTTTTTTTGGGGGTGGACGAGTTCCCTAAAGAAGGATCATCCACAGTGGCTCTGGGACTCCAAGCCACAGGTCTATTTGGAAGGGGCTCTTTTTTGTTTTGTTTTTTTTTTTTTCTAAAATGGTCAAGATGAGATGCAAATGGCTGCAGCCCTGCAATAACCCAGCTAACTCAGGGAAGATGCTCAGCTCCTGCCCCAAAAAGCCAACTTCACGCTAAGCAAGCCACCAAAAAGGAGAGAATTCAGGAAATCACTGGAGCAAAACCAAGTTCAACCCCTTGATTTAATGGGTTTAATCCAGAATGACCTTAGTGCAGCTGACTGCCCTGTCTCTGAGGGCTGGATAAGAGCAGCTGAGGTCCCACCACTTCATACCTGTGTCTACCCTGAAAGTACAGCAGAACATCCCAGTGCTCAGAGAGGAACCATCTCTGTGTCTGTCACTGCTGAGGAACATCTGCCCTCTCTCCACATCTCTCTGTCCAGCCCATCACATGCCCTGGACACACACACAAATCACCTAAAGTCATCACATAATCATTCAGGTTGGAAAAGACCTCTCAGGTCATCGAGTCCAACCATCAACCCATCAGCACCACCACGTTCAGCACTAAACCCATGTCCTCAAGTGCCACATCCACACGATTTTTGGACACTCCTGTCTCTTTGCATCCAGCTTTGACTTGGAGTTAAGCAAGCTTTAGAATGGCAACAGAATCACAGAATATCCTGAGTTGGAAGGGACCCACAAGGATCATGGAAGCCCAACTCCTGGCCCTGCACAGGACACCCAAACAATCCCTGAAGCTTCATGGTGACTCACTAATTTAGTCAAACACACTGATTTTACTTTATAGCCAACTCGACTTTTATCTAAGTGAGAAAACACAGTAATCAGAAAATAGCCAGGAAAACCTGAGGCTGCAGGTCAAAACACAGCTCCAAGAAGTTGCATCCAGCTGACTTCCTAACCACCAAAAATACAGGCTTACAGCAGGAATGTTCCTTTCCCTGAACAGCATTTCAGGAATTTATTTAGTGCTTGATTCTGCAATTTCTACCTCCTCACGTTGCCTTTACTTGGGTAAATAGGATGAGTTTCATCTGAGTTCAAGTTATTGAAAGTTAAACCCAAAAAAGGGGGGTGGAATTCCTCTCCAGGGGGGCCCATCTGATTCCACTGATGACAGAGGGAGCAGATGCAAAGAGGTCAAACCAGACACTTTAAACTTTTAGAGAGCAAAAGGTAAGTGGGTTTAATCCCTCTTCCAGCTACTCTCCTCACCCCCAAATGGGTGGGTAAGTAAATATACAGTACTCAGGTGGCAAAGGCTGCAGAATTACTTAAAAGGAATATTTTAGACTAACAAAAAAAAAATGTACTTTGAAAAATGTATTTTAAAAATTGCATCTACAATCCTCAGCAAAATGCAGTCCCAGCCAGAGCCCGTAGGAGGTTTGAGGAGCATTATGAGCTCAAGGGAGACAAGGATAAATTTTTTTTTCTAAGTTCATCCATCTTTACCTCTCCTCTGGACACTTGTGAGACTTTAAGAAGCAGCAGGAGTCCAACACAAGAGTGGGATTCTCTTGGTTGTATCAGTCACCACACTTTATTTCTGTCCAACACATCATCCTCCCATCAGGTCTTCCTACAGTCAGTTCCACCATTGCCCCTCAGCTCCTGCTTGCAGGAATTCCATGTAGGAATCCACTCCTCTCTCCCAACACATCTCCAACCTGCCACTGTACCTTGGTCACCTTAGTTTTAAAACTCCCTGCTTTTTTGGGCAGAGCCTGGCTTTGCTGCTCCAGCCTGCCCAGCACCGTGGGAGCTCATAGAGATCTGCCCCATAGAAAAGTAAAAACCTTGACAAAATCCCTGGTCAGGAAGGATTCTTATCCCTTTAAAGAGGAAAGGATCAAGGATTGGACACATTCCCATCCCAGTGCTCCTCTACCCTGGGCTTTAATTACATGACACATTTCTCTGGGAGCTTGAGTGGAGCAGCACTCAAAGCATGGAGGTATGTTCTAGGTGTGCTGCCTCATTGCAGGAGGCATTTCTTTAGCTCTGATCATTATTCTAAAGCAAAAATCAATTTAACAGACAAATTCAACAACAACAAAAAAACACCTTGTAAAAGGAAAAGCACCACTCCTCCCAAACTCTAAGCAACAACAAGGCAGCGAACCACAAGCCTAACCCCAAAATGCTGAAAAGTCAGAATGTCCATGAAGACTTTTTTTATTGCCTGCACAGAAAATATGCAGACAATTAAAGGACAAGATCTGAGGCTAGAAAAGAAGTGGTGAAAGTTTGATGAGCCAAGTTGCTTCTATTAAACTCTATCAAGCTTTGGGATGTGAGACTGTGAGGCTCCTTGAGAGGGTCAGGCTTTGTTATTCTGCGAAAGAGTGAGGACCTTTTTGGGTGATTTTGCCCCTTGGATGGTAATGTCTGAACTTCTCTGATGAATTGCAGATGGAAGAAGGACAGCAGGAATGTTGCCTCATTCCTATACAAAAGAACTTGCTGAAAATGTCCTGTGATCTCCACATTGTGTGAGAGGATCACCCTTGGCTCCCTTTGTAGTTAGTGGAAGGAAATTGGCATTTCCAGAGAATGATTGATCTCTCATCCTTTAGATATCTCTGCTAGGAGAGGTGAGTCTTGTTCTCCAAGAATCAAAGAGGAAGTTGAGCAGCACCAGCTTGAGTTTGGAGAGTTAACTTTTAGTTATCCAAGTAAGATAAAGTGGATCTTACCAGGAATATTCTGTCTTAAAAATCTATGCAGGCTTGGATTTTTTTAAAGCACCAACACATTTCAGTGATAGCTTATTCCATCTTGAACTTATCAATCCATCTTGGAGCAACAGCTGCCTTAAATTTTTGTTCCTTCATTTCACACCAAGGCAACACAGCTGCTTCTCCACAGCAGCTGTCAGCACAATTCCTCTCATCCCAATGCACCTGTAGCTTGTTTCCAGCGAGACCTTCTCAAGGAAATCAGCAAGATCTGTGCTTTGTGGAACACAGGGAATGTCTCAGCGCTGGATCATTGGCATCAGTCCTCTAAAACCTCTTTGGAAGATGAAAAGGAACAATTCCGTTTGTTCTGACAGAAAAAAAAAAAAAAAAAAAAGAAAAAGATGCTGATTCTGTGCAAGAGACGGAGGGATTTCTCCTCCAGTGACACAGAATCAGTCATTGCAGTTCAAGCCTTTGAATTGTTTCTATAGTGTTGCAATAAAAATCTGTAAGGACCTTACAGTGTCCCTTTGGAGGGGCTTGACAAGCTGGTCTGGGTTGTTTAAAGCTGTGCTGCAAATTTATTTTAATTCCCAAACTAGGCAATGTTGGCTGTGACCAAACCTGGACTGAAAGCAGCCCTGCATTTTCAGCAGGTGACAATTCTCTGCTTGCTGAAACCCTGATTTGGGGAAGAAGATGAAAATGAGATGGTTTGGAAGCGCTACTGTGCAAATAAGGTGTAAAGTGGCCATTAATGTTTTGCAGAAATAGAGAAATTTTAAATGACAGCGACTTGACTCAACGTTGGACGTGAGGAGTTCTTTTCTTCCCAAACAGAAGATCACCTTGACAGGTGAGGATTCTGCAGGGCACACTTTAACAATTGATCTTGGTCTGGGGACACTGGGAGCCTCGTTAGCTGAACAAACAGAGATTGATGCTCGTGTTTGAGTTGGTACCTCGGACTTCTTCTACAATCAAGACAGACACAGACATTTCTAGGTCATGATTCATCTGACAGAGCGCAGGCAGCTGCTTTACAATGACAGGAATTGCATCTCAGAAAGGCGTATTCCTTTCTGCAGGATGTAAAAATGGTATTCCATTCATTAATCTACACAAGTGAGGCATCCACACTGTGGATGTCTAAAGTGAGGTGAGATAAAAATCTCACTCTCGATTGCAAAGTTACTTATTTTCACATCTTTTCTGTAAGGCCTCCCGAAGTGTCCAGGTCATTTTTTTTAAAATTTTAATTTTAAATTACTTTTAAATTAATTTTAAAATATTACCTCTATGGAGCAAGCAGAAAGGTCGAGAACCTGAGGATCTCTTCCACTGAAGAGTTCCTGTTTCTAGTGGAGACACTCAAACCCTTGAAACTCCAGAGATTCCCACTGGAGCTCTGGGGGGAGACCTTTTCAGTTCTGGATGAAGAGCAAGGGGAAGAAATAAAATCCCCTGGAAGAATGACAGGGTGTCACTATCTTGCCTCACTTCCCCCACCCCCATCTAAGGTATGGAGGGGTGACAAATTGTCACGGGGATGGACACGAAAGGTACCTTAATAAAGAAGAGAGAACAAGCCATGTACTAAAATCTGATGTTGCTGCTACTGAGATAAGTTTTCAAAGGACAAAACTGGCATTTTTTCTTCTTAGTGCTTCCAAAAGAAATCATCCCAAGATCCTGCCACGATTATCCAGCCTGGACACACCTGGGGAAGAACATCTGGCTGCACATGGGGCTGCCAAAAGCCTGCAAGGTTAAAGGACTCCTCTTCTGGACCTCCGTAAATAGCTAAATAAATAGCTGTAGCCATGGGACATGACAATAATCAGATTTTAATCACTGCTGAAATAATTTCAGAGTAGACCAAACGAGAAAGGAGCAGAGAATAGTTTTGTCAATTGCCTGGTGTAATTTTTAATACCAGATTAATTTCAGCTCTTCTTGCTTCATGTAAACCAGGCACTTCTTCTCCTGACAAAGAAACTATGCTGCTCAAATAAAGTGTTATTTGTGATCTCTGCAGTTTGGATTATGAATATTTGGCTGATATGGATAAAAATTGCTTGTGTTATGATACAAGAAGTGGCAAAGATGTTTGTTTTTCCTGATAAAATGTGACATATTTATAGAAAAAAAAAGTAATAATGCAAAAACATCTGATGTATTGAATACAGGACCTGATGGAGTGAGTAAACAAGTGATCCAGAGAGTTGTGCAGCCCCTGATTTGCCAAATCTGGGGTTTCTTAACCCAATCTCATGTTGTGGTGCTGAATTCCTCCCCAGGCCTCACTTGATGCAAATTATCTCGATGCTCTTGGCCATGAGTTTTAGGAAAGCTCGAGGCTGAGTTTCTAGTGAGCATCAGGTTTTAGGAAGAAAACAAAGAATTACATTTGAAATCAGTCTTGGATTTGAGGGGGAAGCCAGAAAAAAAAATAGCCAGTAAAACTCCCCTAGCCTGAAAAACTAGGAATGATTGCAGGAAAATGCAGCCAGCTCTGAAGGTGCTGAATTCTGCAGAAATATCTTGCTTATGGAAGGGAAATACCCATAAACACAGCACATTTTACACCATTAAAACTCGTGGAGTCTTGATTTTTAAAAAAATACCGAGAAAACAAGTGTAACAAGGCCATATGCTGTCCTTGAGGCTCTGTTGGCAGCATAACAAAGGCAAGGCATGGCAAAAAAAATAAATTCTGGGCTCTTCCTGGAACAAACTGATCCCCTCAGCTCCCATGGAAAGCAGGGATGGTATTTTTGGACTTCATAAGAAACCTTTGGCACCTTGCAAAGTCGAAGCCTCCTGCTTTGGTGTGTACCCTGGGAGAAGAACAGGGTGCAAGTCACAAGGATTAAAAGGGCCACGAAAGATTTGCTAACACTGGAATGGCAACACTGAGGCGAAATCCATTTTTTTTAGGCATTTCTAAGCACTTTCCAGTCACGTTTTGGGAGCTGGAATAGTCTAAGGTAATACAAGAGGCAGGGTTTAGAGGGGGAGGTATTTTAATAATAAAATATATATTTCTTGTAAAATATATGATCTCTCCCTCAAACCTTGTCTCTCTTATTAAGCAGAGACTAGTTTGCAGGTCTAGCCTAATATTACCTCCTCTTGACTATCACATAGCTTGTCATGACATTTATCTGACAAAGTTCATGGTGACTGTGTCTGTAATAAATAAAAGAAACACTTCCAGGGCCCATCCTTTCTCCCTGTGACAGTGTCCCTTGGCTTCCAAGACAGGGTGCCCACAACCAAAGCGCCTGCTGTCTCCAGACCCAATTCTAAATCCTCACATAGGGAATTGTTTGCATCGACGCTCGCTTTCTGCAGCCAAAACTGTGCCAACACGTTGCTTACAACCAAAGAACTGTGACAGCTGAGTGCCAGGTCCTGCTCTCTTTAATTTATTGGTGTGAATCGAGTCAAGGAACTCAATAGGAGTGGGATAATAATCTGTGTCTCATCAAGTTAAGAGCTTTTTGCCTCTTCGGAGCGAATCCAAGTGTCACTCAACCCCTCACGATGCATCTCGGGGACGGTGATGAAGAGACCCCAAGCAGCACCCCCAGAAAGGTGGTTTGGTTGCTCATCTTGAAGGCTCAAATTGGCTGGGCAGTACAAGGCTCATCTGGTGCTCAGGAAGAGCTGTACAAAATTTCCCTGCCAAGTGATGTCATCAGTACTGAGCTCATGATCCAAACAGGGACTGGCAGCAGGAAGAGCTGAGTGTCCCCACAGCTAATGCCATTAGCACCTCAGGAAAGGAATTCAAGGTGCATATTTGAGACTGAAGGAAGCCTCAGAGATGGGACAGGCCTACTGAGAAGGGGGAAGATTGTCCTTTCAGCTTCTGCCAGCATTACATCTCTTCCATGTATATCCAGTAAAGGACTGTGGGCTGGAGGGCATGACTGCTTTGGTGGTTCCAGGCTAATTCTCATCAGGATTGAGATGATCCATTGCTTGTTTGAACAACTATCTTTTTCTGAATGTAGAACAGAAATAATTCACAGGCATTATGACCTCATTTGCTAACTGAGTCCATATTTCAGAGAAGGATTTCAATGACTTTAAATTACAGCACTTTTTCTATATATTTTAAGCTATCGTAGGATCTTCTGATGGTGCACTGGTGTCTCCTTCATCATGTGAGCCCGGGCATGTCCTGTCCAACAACAGGGCCATCAAGGGACCCAGAAACCCTCAAACTATGGTTTGGCCATCCTGCCTGGGGCACAACTCTGCTTCTTGACCTGAGCAGGGAGTGAACCAGTTGTGACTCTGTGCAGGGCTTTGTGCCTCAAAGCCTCATGAAGTAACTGAGAGAAAATAAAACAGAGCCCTGAATGCTCTGTCAGTGCTCTGCTGCCTAAATGATCTCAGGGGGCACTCCATCCAAATCAAATGAGTCTTGGTTTCTGTAAAGCCTCCATTGTCAGAACCTGCTCAACCCTCTATCCAGATCTTCTCTCTGGTGGGTGAGACAGCAGAAGACATTCCCAATGCTATTATATCCACTTGTCACATCCTGTCTGTCATGCAACAGGCAACAGAGAGGCAATTCCTGCTCAGAGCACACCCTACTCACCACTGCTGCTGCTCTGTGCCAGGAGAGAAGTTGGTTCAGCTCCACACATAAAGCTCTCCCACATTTACAAAGGTGGAGGAAAATTTTGCCTGTGCTACAGCTGCCAAAATAAAAGGGATCTTTACAGAAATGAACAGTCCTGCCACCTGGAAAAGAGCAGATGGGACAGCAGGGAGCATGGATCTAGAACCACTTTCTCCTCCAGAGATGGAAGAGAAACACAGAACTTCTCAGTAAAGCAGAGCTGATGCTACAGAAGGACTTAACCCCTCAAAGGCAGCATAAGCAGATTGTTCCAAATTGACCACGGTAACAAAACAACAACGTGGGGGAAAAAGATCCTCCCATGACCAAAACCAAAGGCATCCCATCAGCACCAGAGGAAATACTTGGGAGAGCAAGGAAGAAAATCTAAGCTCCTTTCAAAGAGATGAAGGAAAAGAAATGCTGAAGACTTTCCCTGTTTCATCAAACAACCACCGGCCCTCTGAACATCTGAGGACACCATAAATGCTACTTCAGACAAGACTTCAGACTTCAGCACCTACTCCTGCCACTGTGGAGGGCAGCAAGGATACCCCTGGCATCTTGTTAACATTAATCAGCATGACCAAATCAGATCCACCAGTGATTTCCATGACCTAGTCCTTCCCAGACCACATTCCACTGCAGGAGAGATAAAAACCAGGCTGTCTCTTCAATTTACTGGACAGACTCTCTTGTCACTGAGCTAAAAGGAGACCTTTCTAACTTCCAGCAGGTTTCAGAGAAAATAACCACTAAGTACAAAATCCAACCCTTTTTTTTTTTTTCAAGCAAATAAAGAACAAATAAGGCTGGGAATTCCATGTGATTTCTGAGCAGAAACAAACCAGATGCATCTCTCCCTTTTGCCTAATGCAAGATGATTAATGAACAGATTGAAAGGATTCTTTATGTCATCTCAAAATTTGGAGATTATAATGGTCAGATAGGCAAAAAAAAGAGCTACCACAATGGACACTCAATCATATTATAGCAGTTTAACAAGAAATTGTGCTTTTTGGTATCTCAAGCCCCTCAAACTCCATAAAGTCACATTATTTCATAATAAACCTTTCAGAAAGCTCAGTAGAATGGCAAAATTCCCAAATTCAAACACACACTTTGGAAGCATACTTTTCATATAGATATTTTTCTCATTGTTAGATTATTTCTTTTTTTCCAAATCAACTCCAACCTGTCATTCCATCTGCTATACAACTTCATGAACACATCTGTATTTCATTCCAGAGAGACAAAATACTACACCATAAAAATAGAAATAGGTGGGAACAGGCAACAAAAAGAACAGAACCAAACCAAAAACCAAGCCAGATTTGTACAGACACCAGATAAGAATGAGGGGGGAAAAATGCTGTTTGTACTGAACAATTGTGCCAGTTTTAGAGAAAAGGCTACACAGGAGGGGTCTCATAAATCAAGCCTAAATCTGTGTTTTGCAGTCCTGTCTTGTGCTTTAAGTGAAACCCAACACCATTTTCTCCACTGAGATTTATTCATCTTTGGGTTTCATTTCCTGCTTCTTTCTGTAATTTTTTAAATTTTATTTTATTTCCCAGTGGAATAACTGGATTTGTGTTCAGTAGTAATTTTTCTCCTTGCTTTTTTTTTTCTTAAAAAAAAAACCTATGTCAGACTCCATTTATGTCCAGTTCTTTCTGGTCACTAATTTTTTGTTTACTTTGATAAAGCAGTTGGGGGAAAATGTTACTTTCCCTGCAGACTGGTGGAAAGGAAATGGAGATGATTCCCCTCATTTTGCTCCCAGTAAAGTGAGATCCCTGTAAATATTTCCTAATCAAACTAAGAGTATTTGGGGCTTGGGTTTTTTGGGTTTTTTTTTCTTTTTTTTTCCCCAATTCCAACCTATGGAGCAGCATGGAGGTTGGAGAAGGATTGCCCTGGGAAGGTGTGGGCTTTGTTCCCTCACATTTCTGGCAGCAGGACCAAGCTGGGAGGTTCTTGGAAAGGTTTTACTAGGAATAAGCAGAGGAGAGGTCCCATCCACCTTAAGATTGCTCCCTGGAGCTCCTCCCCACCCCGTAGGACTCATCCAGCATTTCTGTGCCAGATGTTGGTTATTGTGGCGTTACTGGCTTGTCACTGGGTCCAAGGACATTTTCCACCACATGAGCATAGGGAAAAGTCTTCCTCAGCCTCACCAGGAGCTCTCACCTTCCTCACCCCTTCCACTGACAGAGCACAGGGTCCTGTGTGGCTCAGAATGATGCACATGACCCAAAATCGAGACAGTTTTCACTTGCCAGGATATTTGTGCACTGACAGTGGGAGTCTTTGAGCTTGGTTTTTAGCCCATCAAGGTGAGGTGTCCCATTGTGAGCTCCAAATTCTCAGTTCCATCCTGAAGGAGCTCCATCTCATGTGCCCTAGACAAGTGCCTTAATTAGCAGGGGGTGAATTGTCCTGGGGAGCTCTTTGTCCCACTCCATTCCCATAAAAAGGACCTGGATTAGTGACTCTGGGTCAGTGGCTGCCATTAAACAGACAACTTTTCAGTGAATGGGGTCCCTGTGCTCAAGGAAATGCCACATGTCAATTATTTCAAAGAATGAAACCCCTCTTCACCCAAATGGAAACAGATAAACATATTTTTCCTTCCCTAGTCCTAAAAGCCTTGTTTGCTCCCTTTCCTCCTCCTGCCAAACTCAGTGTTAAGATCAGAGGACCAAAATTGAAAGATCAGGACTGCAAATAATTTTTTTCTCAATTTTGCTGTTTGATTCCAGTTACAAACAGGCTGTATTTGGGGAAAAGTAAGAAAAAGTAAACCAATTCATGTTTGACAATTCTGGTGTCTATCTCACATCTCAAAAATATCACTTGACTGGAAAAGGAACAGAAATAATAATCATTCACTCATGATCACAATATTGATTCCAGTGTACAGGAAAATAGGATCTAGACAGGATTTTACAACTGAGAAGGGAACGTTACAATAAAGATTATGACATTTTATGAATATTCGTGTTATAGCTTTGAGCTTTATTGCAAAGCAAAAAATATATATTTGTATATATATATATATATTTTTATCTACATATCACCTCTGACATTGTATACAACACTAAATCACAAGAAATCAAAGAAATCATAGTGAGGTAGATACAAAACAAAGGGATGTGGAAGAATCCAGCTGTTAAATTTGGCTTAACACAACTGTCATTAACATATGTATATCCAACACAGCAGTGAGCTTTGATTCACAGCTTGATCAATGGATCTTACTAACATTGATATTGATATTAGAGCCCATTTAGTAATGATGCCATTTGGGATTGGGGAGGAAAGTAAACCAGAAGCGTTTCCTACAAAACCAGCCATCTCCAAGGGAAAATTTTCCATTGATTTTTCATGACTTTTGATGGTGATAAAACAGCTCTGAGAAATAGCCTGTGTTCTAGGGGGTAGTGCCTGAGGGCAAAGAGGGGGGACTCCACAGCGGGGGAATCTTCTGGGGCTGAACAGAAGCAAAAGAAAGACAAACCATTTCCCCTTCCTTTTTTTTTTGATGGCCAAGAAGAAGCAGCACACCCTGGGAACGCTCGAGGCTGCATCCAGCACCTGTGTGCTCGTGGGTATCAGCTTGGACTTGTTGATGGTGGCCAACCAAACAAGGCTTCAGCAGAAGGGCAGCCCCCTGATGGATTCTGTTGCTGTTTTCAGGGAACAGCAGATACGTGGCAAGAAAGACGGTACCGCTGAAGTGACCGGTGTTGGTGGTACCTGGTGGGATCTGCACTCCCACAAGGAGACCCGTTAAGGCACCTGCATGACTGGGGCTCTTCGGATAATTCTCAGCACGACATCTTGGGAAAGGATTTGGAACAGCCTTGGGCTTTTAAATTTAGTCTGTCCATCCAGGAAAATATGAACCTTGTGCTTCCTTCCACGGGCGAAAAGACACAGAGAGGAGAGGCAGTGGGTTTAACTACAGCGAGGGAGAACCTGGTTGGATACAGGGAAACATTTCCAATATGTTTCCAGCATGGTTGGTTAAAGTTCCTAGGAAAATTGGACCATGTTCATCCATGCACATGCAGCAAAGGATGGATGTGGCTCCCTCACATCATTCAGGAGCCACGTGTTATCAGGAGGACAATCAAGGAGCTCTCAGGTGCTTTATGACAAACACAGACCAAAACAAGTTTGAAGCTCTGAACTAGGAAGCCCCTCTGCTGCTGCTCAACCATCTCCTAATCCTCCTGCAAAGGTAGGAAGGGGTATCCTGGAAGGAATATCATTCCCAAGCTGTTCTGCAAATGATGGCAATCTGGGCTTTGTTCTCATATCACTTACGATGTCATGGCTGAATTAAAGAAAATGAGGAGGACTGACCAGAACAGATTGGTAATGAGCAGGAGAAGAAGCCAATGGGATTGTTACCAGAATGCTGTGTGAATCTACCTGCTGGAGAATGACCTTATCCTTCAGGAAAACACACAGAAGGTTATTGCTCGTGCGTTGATTTTCAAGGGTTTTTTTTGTGAACCCTTAGAGTGGCCAGAACTTGGTCACGGAAAGTGTGGAGCACTTGAGTGGGTCCCACTCTCTGTTTCCTTCAGTGCTGGGAGGGTAATGACTGATGTGGACGTGGCAGGGGCTGCAGAGTCATCATGGAGCTGTGTTGGAGGAGATAATTATGGATGTTCATTAGCAGAGCACCAAGAGGACGAGTCTCATGAGAAGCCGTGGTGGGAAGTGTTTTGGAAGCATGGACGGGTAAATCCTGTCCACTTTTGGTGGGATTCAACTCACCTAAACATAATCACATAAAGGCCACACAGCAGATCTCAACTGGAAACCAACTGGGATTAACTTTGGTGTGTCTTACTGTCTGTCTTAAGTATGGAATGGACCTTGATAACTCAGATATACAGATCTTCTGGCTAAATTAGAGGATTGGATCCCATGCTCACACAGCCAGTAGGCAAAGAACTTTGGATAAACATCCTCACCCAGGGCTCTGTGTCAAGAAATAGTTTCTCAGGGTCTGAAACCTGTAAGTGGTTCTATACTCGTCCACCAAAATGAACTTCTCCTGTTGTTTGCCAAACACACTCTTAAAGATTTGGTTTTTCACGCCACAAAAAAGTGATTTTGAACTGAAACACAGATCTGGTTGTATTTTGACTCTGATGGTGGCGTTGCTTTGCCACCAAGGGACTGGTTAACCCAGAGAGGAAAGATTTATTGTCAAATATCTTCCATACATTTCTTGCCCTGAATAGATTTTCTAGGTGAGTCATGGAACAAGTAGCCTTTGCAAGTTACTTCCTTTAAGAACCTGGAGTGTATGAACTTAAAAGATTGTGGATTGTGTCAAACTTGCCCTGTAGGTTCTTCCATTCACTGAATGTAGCAATTAGGAAAGTATCTTCATTTTTTCCCTTAAAACTTTAGTAGAAACTGGGGCAGAGGATGATTCCACTTGGTCTCCTTAGGTGGGCACCTCTCAGCACTGCATTTTCAGGGGAGGAAATTAGGTGTTCTGACTTAAAGTGAGCCGGAGGGGGGGAATACTGTCTTCCAAAAATATGGATTAATCATTAAATTAATCATTAATAATCCTTAATAATCATTAACACATCCTCTAGATGCCAGCATCCTAATGGGACAACTATAGCTCCTTGCAAACACCAGCCACTACCAGACCCCAAAACTTGTCAGTAGATGGAAGAGACCAAACCCCAGGAGGAAGTTTGTGGAGGAAGAGCAGATAAGGAGACCCTCGAGGTGTCACACCTGTGTCACACCATTAAATAGACAATGTGCAACATGTAAGGCTGGGTGAGATGTCCTACAGTTAAGTTATTTAGGTGTGAAAGCTGCTTTCTGGAGAACTGAGTTACACTGAACGCTCACAGGAGGCTTCTGGGCCCACATGGATTTACAGATCAACCAACTGACTGACAACACTTGCAGCCAGGACGTTGTACAAGATGGGAAGATTGCATCCAGCTTTTCCACTCCTATTGTTTCCAGGTAAATGTAGCTGTAACTTCAGCAGGAAGACTGACATGAAGTTCTTGGTAAGGATTCAAATGCAAAAGATTGGCTGAAAGAAGCACCCACCATGCCACAGACTGATGTGGTCACTTGTGTTGCCACAAATACATGGAAGAGGTGCCAGGAATCCTTTCCCTTCATCCTTCCTACTTTTACTAGCTTCAGTAAAGGTCCTTTCTGTATCCACAGCTGTCCCTTGGTCACTTGGAAGAGCTTCACTAAATCAGGTGTCCAGTGGGTCAGAAATGGGGTTTCATCTGTCCAACCCCAAGAAACTCGAGGTCACAGAACCACAGAATGTCCCAAGTTGGAAGGCATCCAGAAGGATCCAGACCACGAGGTCTATGTGTAGTGTGTCAGACAAGAGTGGGCTGATGGCAGCAACCCAGGGTTTTGCTCTTGGCCAAGTTGTTTCAGCACCTGGAGGTACCGAGGCTGAGGAGAGCCTGATAAAGGGATTTGAGGAGTGTTCAGATCACGGGCTGTGGCTCTCAAGGGTGTGGAAGCCTTGAGAGGAAGGAAGAAGAACAACACCTAAAAAATCATGGGGATGAAGGTCAAAGCATGGCCCAAGGAGGCAGCACTGGCTTCCTGAACAGAAGAGAGATGGAGGACAGGGGGTAGGTTGGTGAAGATCTCACCGTAAACTGGCCCGAATCCCCTCCCGGCGTCACGGAGAGGGACCCTGCGGTATCTGCAGAGGAGGACCATGAGTGCAAAGTGCTTAAAGGCTTGGTAAGCAACAGCAACCCCAGTTTGACAGGCACAGAGAAGTGGGAGTGATGCTCTAAGCTGCGAGGTGAGTCAGTGGTGGGCGGGGGACGTGACAGCATCTCGTGGGCGCGTGTTTTCCTGAGCTCATCACCGGACGACCCTGTTTCCTCACCAACACTCTCCTCAGCACCTGTTGGGAAACTGGGGTGGGGAAAGAAAGGTTCTCAAGGCTAAATCCTCCCAGGGGTATGAACTGGGGGAGGAGAATTTTCTACCTTTCCTGACAATTTCTAGACAATTTCTAGACAATTTCTAGACATCTTCTACCTTTCTAGACGATTTTCTACCTTTCTACCCATCTAAGGACAAGGAAGAAGTTTACCCAGCAGAGTCAGGCTATTTGTTACAGCTTAAAGAACTACAAAACCTCTACTTCAATGGTATAGATGGGCATGATCCTGTGTTTGGATGTGTGTATATGTTATACACACCCTACCATGGACATACGCTATTATATATTTCTACAATATATAATATAGTATATAATACACACACACACACGGGTGAGATACTCAAACATCTTAACTCCTCTTAGTCATAGAATCAAAATGCTCTTCTTTGAGGGTCAGGTAACACTCACTACATTTTCTATATAGACAACTTTGTACATACAAGTCGTAAAGTGCCTTTAAAAAGCGCGTAAAATTTTCTATGTAGAAAACTATGTACATATAGCACACACATGTACTAGAACACTTGGAGTTAAGCCAAATTTCACCTTCATCTTCACATCCCCCAATACCTACAATACAAAACCAGAATTAAAAAAAAAAAGTATATATAGAGAAATTAATTAAAAAAAAAAAATTCCTAAAACCCAAAGGGAGAGAGAGAGAGAGAAAAGAAAAATAATGACTCGAGAAACAAAACCAACCCCCCCAAAAAATTTACCCCAGTCAACAGAAGCCTGGCACATGTAGAAAACATCGATTCACTTAGAGAACATAAAGAGGGTCATGTCCGAACCTCCTTTTTTTTCTTAAAAACAAAACCAAACCAAACCCCTTTTGTTTGTCTGTTTGTTAGCTCTTATCGTTTGAGAAAAGTCACAGTAGCACTCTCACCTTGAACCAGAGTTTGGAACTTTTTTGTGTTTCTTTGTACAAAAGAAAAAACGGTTTTAGGTTATGGAAAATAGTTGGGAAATTTGAGGTTGGAGAGAGGAGATAGAGAGAGAAACTGGAAGATTGCATAGTTGTGAACAGTGGCTTCTCATCAAGGTGAAAAAGTGCATCATCTGATAAAATAGCATTTGATTATTATTATTTTTTTTTTGTTCGGTTCCATACTTTTGTTTTTTTTTTCCTCAGTCAACTGTACATGTCACACATGAAAAGGTATTTACAGCACACACACATGCTAACACTGAACGTCTGACACTGAAACAGCCATTCTTTAAATGTTCCATCAGAGTTTGTTCCATGCAAAGTTTGTGTTCTCTTTAAATTCATTTTTTGCTACATCCTAAGACCACAGACTTGTCTAAGCCCATCTCATGTGATTTTGATCATCAGCAACACAAAAAGGGGAAAAGCACCAGAGTGGCTCGGTTTGATCACCAAACCTCTGCTTTGACTTCTTTCTGTTGTTTTTAATTTTCATTCCTTCATTCACTGCTGGTTGTTTGCTTTTTTTAATTATTATTATTAATAATATTTTTCTATTGTTGTTGTCATTTTTTCACTTTAATTTTCCAGAGATGGGAAAAAACAATTGATTTTTTTGAATTTTAATAAACTTTCTTGAGGTAAGAGTTATGCTCAGCACCTGGGGCAGGCAACAAAGCTTTCAAAAGCATTTGAAAAATGAAGTGTCCAAAAACCAACACTAACAACAAACCCAAACAAACAAAATCGAGATGAAGATTCCAGGTTTTCGTGCGGGCTAAACCTCCCCAACCCCCTTTCCAACCCTCTTTCCTTTTCCCAAAAATCACGAACAGAATGAAAAGGAAACAGAAGCCACTTGGCACATTCCCTCTTGCACCATCCAAAGGAACAAAGACAGGTGTTGTGCATTAAAAAAGATACTTCAAAAGCTTTTCATGCTTGCTGCCTGCCTCGAGTGCATTTTAATATATGTCTGATCATTTACATTTATATAGGAAAGTCATATTTGTTACACTTTATACAAGATCGCTTCATTTTTGTCTTTTTTTTTTCTTTTTAACCTTTTCACTTGGGTTCTTTTTGTCTTTTGGATAATGAGTTGGTTATATCAATCTACAGTAAGGCTGCACAGGAAGAATACTATGTACTTTAATATATTTTTTTTTTAATCTCCAAGAACCAAAGTATATAAAATGAGGTTTGATTCTAGCACCTTTTACAGTATTATTGGTGTTGTTCCCTTTAGGAGAAAGTACCTTCACTCAACATCTGTTCTGCCACCTCTCTCTGGTTTCAGCAATACTTCAAAGGTAACAATAAGGTGATAATTGACCCAACCCAGCAGTATTTTGACAAAAAAAAAAACCTCTCCCCTCCCCATCCCACCAAAGTCAGGCAGAACTACTCGTGTGAGCAAAGCAATGCCCTCGCTTCCCTCCTCCCCACCAGCCAGGGCTGCTGAGCTCACATGAAAAACCAAACATCCAAAGAGGGGGAAAAAAAACCACCCCGAGGTGATGTCTGATTGGGGCGGCTGAGATGGAGAGGCTCAGCAGCAGATGGGCAATAACGGGGGGCATAACAGCGCTGGCCACAAGGTGAGTTGCACCACCTTGGTGCCAAGAAAAGGCAAGGATGATGCCTGGGATTCTGCCCTGGAATGCTGCCTCACCAACCCCTTCCACGGCAAGGGGAGACCTCCCCATCCCACAGCAGGAGGAAGGTGTTGGGATTTTCAGAGATGCTGAGAAATCACGAGAAATTTCTGTGACGTGAAACAGCAGCTTTCACTGAGAGGCGTTTCAGAGGGGCAGGAGGAGAGAAGGGAGCCACAAAAACATAAAAAATGTGGGAAAGAGAAGCTCCTTGCCAAGGTTGTAACGCTTTACAGGACGTTGAGTGGTTGGTTTCACTCAAGCAGTGTGTAATCCTGCAGAGGAATGGTCCATTCCCCCTGCAGGGGCATCAGAACCTCAATTATATATATATATATATATAATTATAACTATAGCAATCTATCTATCTATCTATATTTATATAAGTATACATTAAAGTCTGTTACTGCACTGGCACCTAATACAGAGGACAAGTACTGGCGTTGTTGTTGGATGCAAGTGGTTGCCTTGACTGAAGTCCTGTGAAGGGTAAAAGCACCACAAGAAAAGGCACCACGAGGCTTTGAGAGTTGAAATGTGGCTGCCCTGACAAAGCCATCATCAACAAACACAGAGAGCCTTTAGAAGAAACTGAGGGCAGGTGGGGCCAGGCCAAATTCTGGCCTCGCTGATGACAGGGAAACAAGAGTTTTCCCAGAAAAAAAAAAACCACCGGGGTTTATGCAGGGTGGGCTGGTGCCTTGGGGAAACTGAGACCAGAATTTGGTCCTTTAAGGACTATTTAGCACTTTGGATGTTTTTTAACAGCCTTCCCTAAATTAAAATGGCTGCATTTTGCCTTGTTCAACATGTTTGTGCCGATGTAAGAGAAGCAAAATTGAACTTTGAGTGCTCAGAGAATGATCTCACATAAAGAGGGCACAGCCTGACGTGGAATCCCTCCTGGGATTGCTGGATGCCTTCCGCTTCCACCAAACCAGGGGAAGTCGAAGGCACTCAGCGAGTCTGATCTCATCCCTCTGCAGAGCCCTGCCCTGAATATCTCAATCTGTCACTCCCTGGGAGCCCAGAGAATAAACTGTCCTGGGCACAGGCAACAATTCTGATGGGTTGACCGAAGTCCTGCCAGACTGAGGCGGAGATAAAACCTGCACGTCAGGGTCTTAACCCTCGCTTCTCATTCCCTCCTTCCTCAACCGACATGCACTAAAGTTTTGTGTGGGCCCTTGCTCTGTTTTCTTCTGCTCATAAATTCATGCCCAAACATACACACACATCAACCTCCAAGATGCAGAAAATAGAGGAAGAGCTGGGGAATGAGACAGAGCACAGACTCGGAGCCCTCCCGCGAAGGGAGAAGTCGCTGCAGACACTGTTGTCCATCAACAACGGGCTCCCCAAGCGTAAGGTCATTGCTTGGTGATCGAAAAAGAAAGAGAAGAGACTCGCAGGCACTCTATGCCAAGTTAATAGCACCAGTTTTGCATCGTGTTGACACCTGTCAGCCCATCCCATCCAAAAATCCCTACCTCTTCCGACAGCTGCTGTCAGCGGCGTCGCACCAAGGCAAAGATAACGCCAATGAGTTTAGCAGGAATTCGCTCTCTGTACAAAGAGGAGGGTCAGTTCTGCCCTCTGCCACTTCTCCTGGCCAGCTCAGAGCAGGGGGTGTTGGCAGCCCTGAGTCACCCAAACACCACGTGTGTGGCTTCTGGCAGAAGCGGTGTTGGAACACCACTGTGGGGGACAAATGGAGTGTGGTGGAACTCCTTGTTCATTCAGATCTACTTTTGGGGGTATAATTTTGGATCCAGGTCTCTCTAGACCCCCAGGAAGGATGGCTCAGGTAGAGAAGTGATCTAGGAAGGAGCCAAACTCTCCCAGTTGAACTGGCAGATCCGTGATCCTGACTTGGATGGATGGGCATCTTCACCTGCAAGCCATGCTGGGTCAGAATGGCACTGGAAAGATGAATGACCTGGATTCAGAATGGGCTGAATTTGGTTTATAAGGCAAATTCAAGGCATGGGCATGACTAAATTTCAAGCTTAATTAAAAAAAAAAAAATGTCCTTCTTGCTAGGAAAGCTTAGGCTATTATTTCTGCCTGATGTGCCTGATCCAGAGGGTCTGGGGTGATCAGGCTGCTCCTTTGGAAGGTTTTCAACCAGAGAGGATTTAGGGTGGAAGAATAAGACATGGGCATGCCTGTGGCATGAACTCTTGGGAATGCACCTGAGGATCCACATGCTCTTTCCATCTCTACCTTCTTTTCCACGGCCCACCAGGACTGTGCCAAATCCCTGGATTTTCAGTTGACTCCCCTGAATGCTTTCCAAAGGGAGAGGGGGGCATTTAAGGGGAAGGAGAAAAGCACTTCCCAAAATCTTAATGTGACATTTCAGATCGACCTCCCTCTTTGTGACTGCTGAGCTACATGGAGACAAGGGAAAGGTGACATGGTGGATTGTTTGGTCCTGCTCTGCCCACCACCACCACCACCACAGCCCTGCACTGCTTTTGGTGGTAAAGTTTTGAAGCAGTTCCACCAACACTGGCTAAATAAATCCTCACATCACCCTTGTGAGGGAACCTCTACACTTCACAATTTATAGATGAGGCACAGAGCATGAAAAAACAAAACAAAACAAACCCAACACCCCCAGGTGTTCTGCTGCAACAGCTTCTTTTGACCACTTTGTAGTGATTGGGGAATTTGTTCTCCTCGGATAAGGTTTATCTGAGGAATCAAGTGCAAGAGTGTTTTCCAGGTTTTGAGTGGTAACCATGAGCTCCAGCAGTGATTAGTCAAATTTCAGTGTTTATGGGAAAAGTGGCACTTCTGCAATAGACGTATTTAAATTGTGCTGTTCTGTGTGGCTGTGCCAATTTTCCAGTGCTATCAAAATTCACTAATCAAAAACTCTCCCAGGATGAAAGCTCATTTGAGGAGGTACTGTGGGCTTACAGGATTCATTTCAATCAGAAGAGCTTTGCAAGAAGTAGGGTTGACAAAGATCTTTAAATGCACGTTGCAACACCTGGGGCGAGGACGGCAGAGACCCAGGGCTGGAGCTGGGATTGGCGATGGGAGTCAGGCAACAGCCTGACCATTCCCATATCACATGCCCTGGAGAAGAGGCCAGTGGTACAAAGGGACATCTTTCACCTGCCAGCAGAGACAACCCTAAAATCCCCTTGGCTCTCCCAGCCAACAGCCCACGGCAGAGATGGAGAGGAAATGTGGATCTTCAGGCACCACCACTATTTTGCCTTCTGTATACGACAGGGCATCAAAAAAAATGTACACAAGAAAGGGGTGATTTTTCCTTGCAGTCAGGAAGTCATTCAAAGCCTCCAAAATATAGAGCCTTCCTGTTGAAATCCTGGTTTTAGGGGAACAACCCCATGATGGAGCACACTGTTAGGTTCCTGATCACAACGCTATTAATCTGGAACAAGGAACACACAGGAGACCACCAAGAACATCTCCCGATCTGTTATCTCCTACTGGTTTCCTACTGGGTAATCAGCTTTAGTGGAATGGTCTGAGCTTGGCCTGATGACTTGAGTGAAAGTCACCAAAAACCAAGATGTGGAATAGTCCTTCCCTGAGTAAATGAAACACTTTTGAAACTAATTCCCATTCCTCATTGGAAAAAAAGGCTGGAATGGTAAAAGTTTGCAGAGCAGAAACATAAACCAGAACCATTGGTTATTTTCTGATGGGAGAATATTTTCCACACAAAAAAACCCCCAAATCCTCAAGTTTTAGATCCATTTTGGGAGGAGGGCACATTTTGTAGCTAATGGCAAACTTTTATGCTCAGTTTAGAATCTCTTCCCTCTCACTCTCCCTACATGGAAAAGGTGGGGACTAAAGGGATTTGGCTGTGACACCTGTGAACTACTTTTTCAGAAAACACCCATCACAGCTCTCCTCCAAATGGCTGCAATTACACCCAATTTAAGGCTTGTTTAATTGCTCGAGTAGTTCTGGGAGGTCTGTGGATAAGTGCAAACCAGTCCACTTGCCCTACCACTTATCCATCGTGAATTTGTTGACTGATACCTTCAGTGATTACTGAAAAAAACAGGTTCTATGGGAATGGTGTGAACCTGTAGCAATTTGAGGGGATGGCCTGGGGAACACTTGGTCTATAGTTTCTCTCACAGCAGTGTCAGCTCACAGAATCACAGAATCACAGAATATCCCGAGCTGGAAGGGACCCACAAGGATCATGGAAGTCCAACTCCTGGCCCTGCACGGGACGAGCCCAGGAATCCCCCAGGGGAAGCCAAGCAGCTTCAACCTCAGGCCACTGAAATTTCTGCGGGCGCGTGGCCCTGTGTGTACTCGACTGCCCTCAGAAACCGAAACAAAATCCTAAGGAGAACAGATTGCAGGTGTAATCAGCTGGCATTTGTCCTGGATCTTCGCTAGTTAGGAAGGAACAGTGCTTGCTCTGAAAGTGGAAGGAGGGGAGGAGAGGCGGGGGTGGATTGCAGGTGGTGTTCAGCTGGCTCTGAGGGAAGGAGGTTCTGGCACTGGCAGTGAGTTTTATTGGTAAATACAGCTAGAAAGGAAAATATGAGCTGCTTGTCCTTGTGACTGATGAGCGGGAATGGCATCTGGAGGGAAAACAATAATCATTCCCTTTGAGTGGCATTTGGCATTTGAATTTTAAGGGCTTGAAAACAGATTTGGAGGGTTTAAGCCCTGCAAAGGAGGGCCCTGTTTGCTGTGTGTATTAACAGGGCTGTTGTCATTGTAATGGTGATACTGGTGGAAGGAGAAGCCACCTCTTCCTCAGGGCTACAAAGCCCCCATGTGATCAGGGGTATGCTACACTCAGATGGCTCCACTTGGGAAGATACTCCTGCTTTTGTCCAAGTTTTGCCTGGGCTTTGACAAAACCTACAAGCTCAAACATGAAACCTTTTAGCACAGGCTTAGAAAAAGAGCAATGGGGCCCAGTTTGGGCTCCCTGGCACCAATAGAAATGACTGTTTTTAACACAAGGAGTGTAAGGAGGCACCTGGCCATCAAGGGAGCTTTACTGATTTATACTGACCCTTATTTTTGGTCTGATTTTGGCTTCCAGATTTCTTAAGAAGTGGAAGATCGGGTGGTACAGCATTTCCTCAGACAGACTTTAAGCTTCTGATGGTCTTTTAATTAAAAAAAAAAAATAAAAATACAAGGAATGTTTATTTCAATCCTGCTTGCAAATCCCAAATTGCCAGCACCTTGCACCAGGAAAGACCTTCCTCATCTCAAAAAAGCCCTTTGGAATTCACAATGTGTTCATATATATTAAAACATATATACATATGCAGTAACATGGCATGTATGCTTGTCCATATTCCCACAGCGTTGGGGATATAGGCACAGACATACATGTTGATTAGTCCCTTTCATCCTGAAAATTCATAGCCACCCATTTTATATCAGGGTTAATACAGAGGAGGAGGAATTCTCTCTCCTCCCGCTGCTGGAATGGGTCATAGCAAAACAACCAGGTGCAAGCACAGCCAGGTGTTTTCCTTGTTGAACAGTACATTTTCAGGAAAATTAAAGGGTGATTTATTGATAAAGTGAACTTCTTGTCTTTTTTTTCTTTTTTAAATATCTATCTATATATATAATGCCCTCAATACCTTATAGGCTATATCCTATTTAATTCCACGAGGTGGGCAATAACCAGCTTTGAAAGCAGTCTGCATCTACATCTTTTTGCTCTACTAGATACACATGAGACTTTAATTGCTTTCAAAACCACACTTGCCCTCTCTCACCCCTCTCAGTCCATCCCTGTTCAAGACACAGATGTGTGGTGCTTCCTAGGACAAAGAGGGAATATCTATAGGTTGGCCAGCATTTGGTTGGGTCAAACAAAGCAGTTAGCATAGCACCGAAGGAGTTACATTGCTGTTTTTTTTTCCCAACTGCAATATTTTTTTTTGGAACAGAAGCAGTAAAAAGAACCCAGAAGCACCGAGATGAGTGCTTAAAACAGGGCAAAGAAACAACTGGGGAGAAGGACGGGGAAGGAGCAGACCCAAAGCCGATGCAGATGATCAACGGCCCATCTGCAAGACTGGGGGCTTCTGAATTTGCTCTGCCCCAGCAGGAAGATGTGCAGCTGCCTGGAAATTCAGGTGGAAGAGCCTGGCCCATGTAGCCAGAAGGTTTTGAACTCCCCTCCCCATGGTGGGTACAGAGAAGGGATGGGGAAGGTACGTGGCAGACCAAGACAGAGCTTCCTTCTTGCTTCATGCAAGGCGAGTCTTGGGTTAGAGAAGACAACGGCCACCTGAAAGACCACCCAGTTCTCCAAAACAGACCACAGTCCTTACTCAGGAGAGAAAATGAGACCCAACAACAAAACCCAGGGGTTTTGCCTGAGTAAGGAGTGTGGGAGTAGACTTAACAAAGCTTTCCTGAAAGGGAGCAGGGAGTCCTGCCTGGCATTGCATTTCCAAAAGAGACATCATATAATGGTCAGGACACTTAGACAATAAAAACACTCGTCTCAAAACCACAAAAATTAAACAAGCCCAAGCTTTCTATCACATGCTTTTTTTTTTTTCCTTTCTGAATTATCTGACCGGTGGTGGTGACATCTGGAGCAATGAACCGGATCCCTTCCCTCGTTCTACAGAAAGTTGTCCCGGGTGGCTTGGGGTTCAACCAGGGGTGAATCCACCTCGATGGATCAACAGCCAAAACTCCCATGGATGGCAAGGGAAGTTTTGCCTGTGGGAGGACGGTGAAGGCAGGCCTGGTTCTGGTCTCTCTGGATGTGGCACAGGTTTTTCTCCAGGAAAGTGGGCGCTCCGAGAAGAGTCGCGCAGGGGAGCAGTGTTGGGTCTGACTTATCCTTTCACATCCCACCTTCGCCCTTTGCGTAAGGAAACTTCAAAACAAAAAAGCTACTGTACAACCGAGTAAACTGCAATTATTGTGCTGTCTTAGGCAGTCAAGAAACGTAAAAGGCAAAAACAGAAAGAAAAAAGGGTTATTTTCACGTGTTTATCAGTTGAGACACTAGTTTTCCCATGCCTACAAGAGTCCTCAGCAATACCAGCCTCCCAAATAAGGTCCAGGCTATTCCAAAACAGCGTGAGCAAATTTTTCACTGTATTCAGATGGAAGCTGATGACTGAAAGATTAGTGCACATTAACCGTGGCTGATGAGAGCGACTTTTAAAGAAATTCAAGTATTCATCAGTAATCTGTTCGGTTCAGAAATACTTTTGTCACCTTTAGTTTCAAGTTTCCAGAAACAGCAAGGAAAAGGGAAAGGTCACCTGTTGTGTAAGAAAATAATATTGCAAACAGTGCTGTTACATTTGACTGGGAAAGCAAGGCTATTCAGCAAAATTTTCTCCGTTCCTTGCTTTTGGGGAGAGAAAAGACTTAAGATCACTCTCTCAACACATGCAGGTTTTCCTTCTGCTTGTTGTAACCCACCCCTTTACTGCTCTTTCCCTCTAACAGCACAAACCCAGCAAGAATGAAAATTTTTGCGGCGCACTTCCAGCACCTCTCACACGCGTTAACTTAAGCCTCACAACACCCCTGTGAGGTAGGTAAATATTATTATACCCATGTACAGATGGGTAAACTGTAGGCACAGAAAGGTTAAATCACTTGCCCAAGGTTACACAGCAACTTCGTGGCAGAGCTGGGGTCGAAACCCAGGAGTACTGTCACCCGAAAAATCTGCAATGACTTTTAGACCGCGGCCACTTTTCTATGCTCGCTGTAAAAGCACCATCTGACCAAACACGGCGTTGCACAAATCCAAACAACTCCACACGTTACAAAGTGCCTGATTTTTTCCAGTGGTTGCCTTGCTGCATGTGTCCCAAAGGGATGGGGAGGGAAGGGGAAAATTTATGGCCTCAAATAATTTTTGTCTGCTTTGAAACTCTTGGTTTTGTCGTAGGTTTTTTTCGGGTCGGTGTTTAGTTTTTCAAAATGCGACAGGAAAGGAAGGTCTACGTTATTTTGTCAACAGCGTCACTTTCCGATTGGGCTCTGTGCATGTCTGCATATCCACTAAGGTCCAGATGGTTTATGCTGATTTATTTTGATAGTCACCAATTGCCTCCCTCCTCATCAGCGGACAGCCAGTGGAACATATGCAGCGATCTGTCAGCTCATTTTCTCATTTTTCTCATTATCCTACTGTCTGAGCTTCAAGTAAGGAAACAAGGGTTGAACACAGGCAATATCTAGCACAGCAGGAAGGCTCTCCTACCTTTCTTCACATCACACCTCGACAGAAAAGAGTCACCACACCGTTATTCCCAAGTTCAAACACAACAGAACAATGAAGCGATTCTGAACGTGCTCATGGAATAATAAGCGGATTGCAACAATCTCTAGCAGGTACCCAAAGGTCTGGAAATGCGTTCTGCACACAGTGAAAGGTTTGCCCACGTCTATTTGGGATAGCCTCAAATCTTCTCGTTCAAACCAGGCTGAGATTCTCTGCACCAGAATACACCTGAGCTCCAAGGAAAAATGAAAACCAGCAAATCAGAACCCTGGGAAAACGACCAAGGCCAAGGCCCCAGGGCTTGAGACAACTGCCAAAAATAACAGCATGCAAACTTCGGCAAGCAAAGGGTACACAACGGAGTTCACATCATCCCTACCACCCTCCACCTCAGCCTCTGTGGGGATCGGCAGAGGCCTTGTTTTGTTGTGGTTATTTGGGGGTTTTGTTTTCTGGTGGGTTTTCTTTTGCCTGTTCGATCTGAACAGGACCCAGAGCAAAGCAAACCCAGTAAAAGAAGAAAATATCCCTAGGAAAAGCCTGTCTCCACAATTTTCCGCTGACTCTGGCAGCTTCCAAATTGTCTCCTGCCCAAGCTGCCCAGCAAGCAGGCACTAAAAGGTTTTGCAAATGCACAGTAGTAAGTTTTCCTTTTCAAAGCACCTCTGAGCTTCAATGGAATCACGCTGGACGGACCTCAGACCACATTTTCTTCGGGAGATTTAGTCAGGTGTGCGGGTGACAGGTGGAACATGCATTTCTGTGTGGGGATGGGGGTGGGGCAGGATAAATTGTGAAGTGAATCTTGTGTGTACAGAAATATAGCTGAAGAGCACAGGGAGATTGTGCTCTGAAAGTCAATAGCAGTGCTCCCCTCGTGAGCCAGGCTTTAGCAGACCATTGACTAAAGCTTGGAATTAATTTTGTCCTGTTTCATCCAGTCAGCTTTAAATAAAAATGCATGCAAATGAGTGCTGACTTTTGGCAGGTGCAGAGAAGGACGGGGTGAAGCAGAGCATTAGCTGCAATCCCAAACACTGAAAATATATATATTTACACTCAAAATTGGTGGCTCACTTGCAGTTTCCACTGGTAATTATTCAACATTGGCTCTTCTTCTGCGGTTCAGGTTGGAAAAGCTGCAGATAAAAAAATGCCTTGTGTGGGTGGCAAAGCATGACAAGGGCAGGGGCAGGGACCTTGTAATTTCTGTATTTCCATTGTTGATTTGGTCTGGTCTGAATCATTCCTGTCTCTGAATTAGCTGCCTATGGTTGTATAACACTATCACAGTAAACATGCCACCCATCTGACATGGTTGGAGGGATGGATGGGTTGACATCGGAGCGATAAAAGCGGCGCTGTTTGCAAAACAACCTCAGCAAAAAGAACAGAGTGAACTGAAAAACAACTTGTCCATTGGATTGGGCAGAAAACAGAAAAATGCCAGATCGGAGCTGACGTTCTCCTCCACATCCTGAATCCTGGTCTGCGGGCACAGAGTTACATATTTATTAGCAAACTAAGCACTTCCAGGATCCATTCTGGCCACGAGGCCAACTGAGAAGTGCTGGCCCCAATCACACTGCTAAAATCTTCCACCCCTGATGCAGAGCAGCTGCACCCAAACTGCTGGATGGGGATGGTCTCTGGCCATGCCTGGGAAAGCTGTGCCCGAGTCCAGGGCTTGTTGGAGTGGGTCAAAACCATGCCAGGGAAGGTTTGAACAGTATAACAGTCGGGATGGTGGAGCCCTCATGCCCTGGCATGGCACAGTTGGCTGGTTTAGATGATTCCAGGGTGAATCCAGCAGCACAAACGTGTCAGAGAAGGTGCCAGCTGATCTTGTGATGTGAATAAACACAGGCTCAACCTTCTCCATGGCAGTCTGAAAAACTCCTCGCTCGGTATCTTCTGGCAAGAAGGTGGGACATGGTATAACTGAGCTACCAGGGGCAAGATGAGGAGTTAAAACCAAGCTGAAACCAAAACAAGTCACTGACCACCCTGAAAAAGTGCACAGGAAAAGTCAGAGGGCAAAAAATAAACAAAACAGGAGGAGAGGACTGGACTCAGCACTGGGATTAGTACCAATAAAGAGCTGGGGGTAGTTTTCCTCCCCGAGCTTTTGGCTTGGCAAAAGGCGCTGTTTGGCAAGAAGATCACAGGAAATCCCAAGAGGAAATAGGTCACCACCCCAAGCTGTCCAATGTGAACTCATTGGGTGTAGTGGCAGAGCACGTGTTTTACGTTAAGGCTGTAATGGAAGTCCTTGAAAAAAGAAATAGTTCTTCAGGGTTGGCACAGGCTCTCACTGGAAATCCTTTGCTCAATGAAGATGCCAGTGGATGTCATTCAAAGAAAGGACTAGAAACAGAGGCAGAGAGTTTATGCAACCAAGAGTAATGAAACAGTCTTAACACGCAGTGGTGGCCCCGGCCTTCATTGTTATCCACACTACGAGCCACGAAGGAGGAGGACTTTGGAACAGGGATGTGTCAAGCCCTTAGTTAAGCTGGTTTGGTTGTGAGAAATTAGCACTGCATTGAGAAGTAAGGACACTTCCAGAGTGTTTTGCCCCTCCACTCCTGTCACGGGAGGGAGAGGACGGCTGTTGGTGTGGTGATGTGGAGTAAGATCCTGTTCCTGAGGGAAGGCAGGCTGAAGTTGCTCGTGAGAGGCAACACTGAAGGGTCTCCTCCTCGACACCTGGTGACTGTGCCTTGGCTCGTTGGCTCCTCTCACTGTCCTGGTGTGAAGCGGCAGCGTCCGGCGGTTCAGCGGGGCCAGCGACTGGGATCACATCTCCAGACTTTCAGGGGGGACAGGTCTGGGGAGAGGGACCTTCTCATGGTGCTTTTGAAAATAACGATGCTATCTCCCGGAAGAGAGGCCCCCAAAGAACAGCAGGGTTGTTTGCCACCCATTCCTTTCTCATGCTTTTGCCAATGAAGTGCAGATTGCAGAGCAGAGCTCTTCATGGAAGGACCAAGGAGACTCTTTACACAGGGAGTTGGATCAGATTCAAGTCTACACTAGCATGAAAGGTAGGTCAAAAGAAAGTCCTGGGAGGAGAAAGGCAGGCCTGTCGCTGGAGGATGGGCACCTCCAGGTTTTTATGACTCAGTAGGTGGGGACAGCAAGTTCACTTCACAAATTACCTCTTTTTATGGAGACTGATCAGGGAAGAAACAGGGTGAAATGTTAGTAGGACACTTGAGAAGGGACTGTTTTTGTGACACAGACAGTGGAGAAGGGAAATGAAAGCTTTTCACAATTATATATAAGTTCATGTATATATATATATGTATATATATATATGTATGTATTTATGTGCACATTAAACAAGGGACTGGGAAGTTAGATGGGGAATGACAGGACCAAATCCCTCCTTTTGCAGGAAAATGTGACCATCACATTAGTTGTAATCAGAGCCCAGAAACATTTGCCTGAAATGGAGTTTGACTGGGAATTACAGTACCAGTGACAATTTGGCTTCGTATAAACTTTGCCTTGTGTCTATAGTTTGGCGTGAGTGAGTCCTGTCCTCCTGGAAAGGGACAGACACCAGTTAAAAGTTTCCTTTACAAAACAAAACGAAACAACTGAAGAAACCCCAACATTTTCTCAGAACACTGCAAAGGATCACTGATTGAAAAAAATGTTTCTCTTCAGGTATATTCAGGCGAAGAAAGCATTCAGCTTCTTTAAACTGTTATATAAAATTGGTACTAGTTTCTTTAAATACTATTATAATTAAAAAAACCAACTGATTCCTCAAATTAAAAAAAAAATAATCATAATCATAATTAAAAAATATCCCCCCCATGCTGATCTCCTCTTTAGAATAGGTCAGCATGGGAGTTTTGCACCCTAGACAGTTACAGTATTTCTGGAATAAAAAATTGCAATTACACACAGAAAATACTACAGCATTCACTTAAAAATACCTCATTTTGTTGTTGTTGTTGTTTTTTTCCCCTCCCAAGTAGAGGGATGGTGGGATTGAAAAGATGCCCTGAAACGGGATTATTCCTTTTAAAGGAGCAATACTCTCGTAAACGGAAAAAAAAAAAAAGGGTGTTGTTGGACAGACGCAAAACCCGTGACCGAACTCGAAAACAAAGAGATTCCAGCACAGAAACAGAATTGGAGAGATGGGAATGTTCAGACACCGAGCGGGTTACTTGGAAATGTCAAAGACAACCACTCAGCCCTCGGCAGGTGACCGTCTGGGCTTTGCCATCATCGGAGGTGGCAGCAGCTCCTTGCGGTGAGAAGGCTAAAGCTAAACCACGATGCTCTCACTACGCTCTTGAAACTCCTCTGCTCGTTGTTTCTCGCCATGTACTTACAGTAGAGGGTGACACGAGACAGTTTTTTTTGTCAGCAGTTCCCCACATGTACCGAGTCGAAGAATTCTCAGCTAAATCACAACAACAACATCAACGAAAAATACAAAGCACCAAATCATCTCGAGACGTGAGTCAGTTTACAGGTTATTACCGTTTGAAGAAGTTTGTTGGTTGTTTTGTTGTTGTTTGTTTGCCTTTTTTTTGTTTGTTTTTGTTTGTTTTTTTTTTTATATCCCGACTTTTCATGTTTTGTTTTCCTTAAAAACAAAACAGAACAAAAACAAAAAATCAAAACCCAAAAATCCCCAAAATGGAACAAAAGGATGCTTTACAATCACTTTAAGGCTCGCACTGAATGAGACATGACAGGTCTTACACAAGATTACAAATAATACATGTATGCCTTTCACAGCCTTAAAATGATACAGTAGGTCAAATTATTTTGCCAGTCACTGATCAAGTATTGTGCCTTTAAATTGACTCGCTTTTTGCTACCATGCTGAGTTTTATTATTACTGAAATAATTATTAGATATGTGTAAATGGACTTCCGTAGGATGTTTTTGGTATATAATTTCAATGATTTGGTATTTTCCAGAATTCAAGGTGGCAGGCCTTATTCTGGGCTCAGGCTGTTGGTGTTTGCTCCACTGGAGACAGTGGTGCTTTAGCACGTGCAATTGTTGGAAACAAGATCAGATCCATCGTTATCACACTAATCTGGTGCAAAGCCACCATTCCACGTGATCCGTCTCCACAAGGAAAACGGTTTCGTGGTGGGATCGTGTTCATAACACGACTCGGTCAAGGCTCAGGGGCTTGGCCAACTGGTGCTATAAATTCCTTGCCAAATTATCTTACAGACCTGATTTTGTCTTTTTCAGCTGTTGGAAAAACCAAACTCCATTAGGGGTGTCTTGGCTTTGCTTTCTTATCTTTAGATATTTGGGGCTTTTTTTTTTTTTTTGTTAAATCCAATAAAAGCAACAGGATTTTTCTTTTTCATACATTTCTCTCTTTTTGTTGTTGTTGTTCATTTTTTTTTAACTATTTTTTTTTTACTTTTAAGGTTTGCATTTCAGTTGGTTTTTTGTTTTGTTTCGGTTTTTTTTTTCTTTTTCTTTTTTTTTTTTCCTGGCATATAATCATCAAAGAGTTTTGCATGAGAAAGGTGACAGTACTTAATGAAACTCAGCACCTAAGGGCATAAGGCAGTTGTAGGTTTGTTTGTTTGTTTTTTTTTTATTTTTCAATCAGCACCAATCCCATAAATAATGTTCTACACTTGGTGTACGGTATAAAACTGATGTGGAGATGCCTCCTTCTCCACCTGTGAATCCTAGGTGTGGAAGTTGAAATACTGTTTCTTGTGTGTAAAAAACAAAAGAAAAGTTTTTCTTTTTGTTTTTACTTACAAAACATAGAGAATATCTTTTTTTTTCTTTTTTTTTATACATACAGCAACCAGAAAGAAAGCTTATCTGAAGGTTTGTGTTTGTTTCATGATCTGTGTTTACCGTAAACAAAAATAAGGTCCCCTCTTTTACTTTTGCTTTAAGGAGCTTTTAAAGTGAAGATTCATATTGTAGCAACTCATATAAGAGAGGTCCATCTCTATACCTAATACCTACAGCTGTGGGGGTGACATATTGGAGGATGTTGATAGTTCTTCTTAACCTCCTGTCTACAAAATGAGCATCCCAGGCAGGATATCTTTTTCTTGGGATGTCAATCTTAATGAGAGGCCCCTCGGGGGGGTAGGGTCGCCCAGATGGAGTAGATGGAACCATTGCTCTCACCTGGAAAACGGGCAAGCAAGTGTCAGCTGTGAGTTCCTCCTGTTGCTCCGTGACCGCTCTGGTGGGCGTAGCCTGGGCCCCCCGGTACCCAGGGGTTTGGGGCGCCATGGGCTCAACATCGGGGGGCAAAGGAATGCCCCAGAGCAGCTCGGCGCAACAGGAGCTGGCAAAGATCTTAGCTCTTGGCCCCATGGGATGCAGCACACCATAATATAACAGCATCAGAGCTATCCCAGCAGCAAAGCTAAGAAAGACACAACACAGTGCTGGCACGGCATATGAGTCAGTGGTGTCGGGATCTCTGTAAAAATACCAAAGGAGCGTCAAGGTCGCGTTCTCCGTCAGGACCACCGTGTAATACGCAAACATTCGGTATCGAGTCCGCCCTTCCTTGACATTAAACCAGCAGAAAATGTACACAATCCCTACCACCATGTTGAAGAGGATCTCCTCCCACTTAGACATGCAGAAGTCTGTCCCACCATGGATGATCCAGAAAGCCATGGCACACCAATGGACCACTACAAAGATCCCAAAGTAGAGCTGGAAGATGGAAGCAAAGAGAGCAAAAGAAATAACTCGGGATGAGATGGTGAAGATGCGCCAGAAGAGATGGATGAGGGCCCCTCTGTAGCTCATACTCTTCTTGTCGTCCCTAGAGTCCCGAAGAAGCTTGTGATAGGAGGCTAGCACCCAAGCCAGGGACATCAGGGAGGCCACAGAGGACACACCTGCCGGAAGACACACAGATCCACTGGGTTAGACAGGAGGTTTGGTTGAAAACATCATCTGCTCACTAAATTATTGCATCGGGGGGCAGGCTCGGGAGCCTGAAGGTTCAACTCACGTCAGGTTGTCCTTACAGTCTGGAGGAGAGAAATACAGAAATATCAGTGTGGGAATCGGAAAGGATGCTGCATTCAGGAGTGCTCTGACATGCTGTCCCGATCTCCATGAGCCACTGGCTCTGCCACCCCACCCCATCTCTTCTCTTTTATCAGGGAACAGCCTCTGTGCTCATCCTGATTGGATCCACATCTGAGAATCTGAAATCCAGATCCCACCTAAATGCTTCATCCCAAGCATGAAGATTATTTTCCGTAGAAAGGAATCTATCTTGGAACAGACCACTGCAAGAGCAGGACATCCATACTCCCTGCAGCCACATTTTCTCACCCTAAAATATTTTTATATGAGCAACATTCCCATTGATTCTGCCTTACTCAGGAATCTCCATTTGCATTTGCCTTTGGGAGAAATAGGCAGGTTTTTTGTCCCATGCATATAAATATATAAACACAGGGAGCATCAAGACTCATCAGTACCCTCCAAATGGTCCCAAAACAAAGAATCTGGTCCCTCCAGAAAATCCCCTGCCCTGTTTCCAGGATGGACTGAAGACATGTATCATCTCCAGCCTTGTCTCATGGATGGACCACAGATCCAAGTCACAGTTGTGTCTCCAGCCCTGTTTCTGCTCCTGGTATGACCCTCTGAGGAGATCTTGGATCTGGTCCACCCTTGCCCAAAGTACTCAGACCCTGAGGATTGTTCTCATCAGTGCCTGCAATGCCAGCCCTGGGATCACCCCTCAGCAGGCATCCCACGATATTCCAAAGGGAATTCAATCTTAACCAACCATCATCTCAACTAATTCATCATCCCACCCAACACTTCAACAATTTATTTTCTCCAAAAGATAAAATAGTGCCTCACTACACTTCAGATGCTTTTAAAAATAATAAAAAAAGACATTGATCATCACAAGGGTAGATTGAACAACTCATTGAGCAAAGCATCACAATAAAAAATTAACTGACAGATTCTTGGGAAAAGAAGGAGCCACTGGCATCTCATTCCGTTGCTCCCACTGCTGCTCACTGGACAGCTCTTTTGCAAGTGATTGAAGAGATGATGGACCAAAATCCATGTTTGGGGAGTTCAGTAATTTGGTAGTTATAGTTCGATTGGGCCTTGGCCAAAGATTTGTCTGGGAGCATCACCTATAAATACTAAAGGAAAAATACTAATGGTTGCAAGCAAAACAAATAATAACACCTTTCTTTCTCTAATGTGTGACATATTAGAAGGTCAGAGAGACACAGGATGGCCTGGGTTGGAAGGGACCTTAATGATCATCTGGTTCCAACCAGCTCTTATTTTAATTTTCCTGCTCTAAAAAACCTGAGGAACATCTTTCTGCAGCTACTCAGGGTTAAAAAGCTAAAATGCCCAATCCCCCTAAATTTTTTTCTTCTCCTGCTTTGTTTTCTCTCTGCCCATAGGGGCCTGGCTTCCCTGGGAATGCAAATAAGACCCACTGGCTCTTCAGACCTCACTCCATAGACTTTACCTTCTTCTTTTTGAGGAGCCCACCCCACAGTGCAGTGGGGTTAGATTTCCCCCCTTCCAACCTATCTATGTCTAGAGGAGAGGTGATGAGGAAGGTGACCAGGAGGGATGACAGAGCTCCATCTCTGCCCCTCCTTGGAATTCTCACAGCCTGCAGGTCCACCAAAACTGTGTCTTTCCATCAGCTTATCCCTCTGAACTATATGTCTTTGGACTCACAGCTGCTTTAGCATTTCAGACTAAATTTAAAAAAAAACCAACAACAAACCACAAACCAGTAAGACCAGTGGCCTTATCAAAGAGGGAAGCTTGAAGCCACCAGCTTTAAGAAAACCACGATTTCCCCCAAGTTCTAAGTCCTTGATAAGAAACAATAGATATGGGACTTGGGGATTCTAATCACAGAATGACAGAATAGTTCAGGTTGGAAAACACTCCTGGAGATCATCTAGTCCAGTCCCCTTCCCAAGGCAGGGTCACCTGGAGCAGGACCTCATCCAGGTGGGTTTGGAATGTCTCCAGAGAGGGAGACTCCACGGCCACCCTGAACAACCTGTCCCAGTGCTCTGCCACCCTCAATGGGAAGTTCTACCTCATGCTGAGAAGGAGTTTCTTGTGCTTTAGTTTGTGGCCATTGCTCCTCCTCCTGCCACTGGAAAGGGTGGTACCATGTTCCTGCCACCTGCCTAGGAAATATTTATACGGATTTATGAGATCCTTGCTCAGTCTTCTCTTCTCCAGACTGAACAGGCCCAGCTTCCTCAGTCTGGATGGAAACTTCTGAACGTGAACATCCACAGCCCCAAGCAGATGTAGATTAGATTTATTTTTAACCTACCAGATGTGTTACATTTTTGGTAAACATAATTAACAGTTCTGGAAGGCTGAGTGATGCCACACAATTTTAAAGTAAAGGGTGTAAGTACTGTTTGTAGCAGTATCTTTTAGCTAATCAGTTTAAAAACTTTCTCTGATTGGCAGGAAAAAATGTCATTTATTACCTTATTTTAATGCTGTTTTACCAGAAACTTGTATATTTTAGTGCTGTTTTACTAGAAACTTGTAGGGCATTAGGTGTACCTGTACCCTGAAACTCAAGCAGCACCAACCCTCAAGAGACAGATTTGTCACCCTGGTTTAAAAATGTTTCTTTTGGGCTCATTTATTCATTCTTGGGAAAAGAAGGAGCCACTGGCATCTCATTCCGTTGCTCCCACTGCTGCTCACTGGACAGCTCTTTTGCAAGTGATTGAAGAGATGATGGACCAAAATCCATGTTTGGGGAGTTCAGTAATTTGGTAGTTATAGTTCGATTGGGCCTTGGCCAAAGATTTGTCTGGGAGCATCACCTATAAATACTAGAGGAAAAATACTAATGGTTGCAAGCAAAACAAATAATAACACCTTTCTTTAATGTGTTACATATTAGGAGGTCAGAGAGACACAGGATGGCCTGGGTTGGAAGGGACCTTAATGATCATCTGGTTCCAACCAGCTCTTATTTTAATTTTCCTGCTCTAAAAAACCTGAGGAACATCTTTCTGCAGCTACTCAGGGTTAAAAAGCTAAAATGCCCAATCCCCCTAAATTTTTTTCTTCTCCTGTTTTGTTTTCTCTCTGCCCATAGGGGCCTGGCTTCCCTGGGAATGCAAATAAGATCCACTGGCTCTTCAGACCTCACTCCACAGACTTTACCTTCTTCTTTTTGAGGAGCCCACCCCACAGTGCAGTGGGGTTAGATTTCCCCCCTTCCAACCTATCTATGTCTAGAGGAGATGTGATGAAGAAGATGGCCAGGAAGGATGACAGGGTAGGAGTTTCTTGTGCTTTAGTTTGTGGCCATTGCTCCTCGTCCTGCCACTGGAAAGGGTGGTACCATGTTCCTGCCACCTGCCTAGGAAATATTTATATGGATTTATGAGATCCTTGCTCAGTCTTCTCTTCTCCAGACTGAACAGGCCCAGCTCCCTCAGTCTGGATGGAAACTTCTGAACGTGAACATCCTCAGCCCCAAGCAGATGTAGATTAGATTTATTTTTAACCTACCAGATGTGTTACATTTTTGGTAAACATAATTAACAGTTCTGGAAGGCTGAGTGATGCCACACAATTTTAAAGTAAAGGGTGTAAGTACTGTTTGTAGCAGTATCTTTTAGCTAATCAGTTTAAAAACTTTCTCTGATTGGCAGGAAAAAATGTCATTTATTACCTTATTTTAATGCTGTTTTACCAGAAACTTGTATATTTTAGTGCTGTTTTACTAGAAACTTGCAGGGCATTAGGTGTACCTGTACCCTGAAACTCAAACAGCACCAACCCTCAGGAGACAGATTTGTCACCCTGGCTTAAAAATGTTTCTTTTGGGCTCATTTATTCTAGAGTAGAGAGAGGAATAAAATAGATATGAAACAAACCCTCAGTTTACACAGAAAGGCTTTTCTGTAAGGTTTACAGGGCAGAACCTTCCACTAATCACAGCCAGGGCTGTAAATTGTACAGAGCTGAGATTAGGTGTGTTGAGTCACTCGCATCGCACGGTCCCTGCCTGCTGATAGTCATCTGAACGTCTCTGCCAGTCAGCAGAGAGAGGCAGACACCCCCAGAAAGTGATTCAGCATGTCCTAAGATCCATGTGTGGGACAGGGAGGGGTTGACTCATGCTCCCAAGGTGTCTGACTCCATCCCTTGCCAGGGGAGGAGAGCACAGGCAGTCAGGCGGGATGAGTCCTACCCTCACAAACCGCTCGTTGTCTGTTCGTTTGCACCAAGATCTGAGGGAGGTAATGGAGTATCTCCAGACACTTTGACATGTTTCTGCTGTTGTTTGAAAATTCACGAGTCTGTGCTGAATGTGAGTTTTGGCATCCTAGTGATGGACCTGGGTGTGAGGCGGTGAGGTCTGGAGGTGGATGTCAGCAACAACCGTGGGGTGATATGAAGACTTCTCCAGCCCTTCTTGCTGTGTTGCCACAGAAATTATTCCCTCGCTATTTCATAAAGACTTAAATGACACAGCACTTTTGTTCATCTTAACCACGACTTTCTCATTCCCGTCTTTCCCTGTAACATCCTCACGCAATTTACAATTCTCACAGACCGTGGGACAAACTGCCTCTTTTTTCCCCCTCCACTTCTCCAGACCTTGTTTCTAACCAGCTACAGAGATCTCTCCAATCATAACTAGAACAAAAAGTCTTGGAAAGTTGGATCATATGAGAAGTAACTTTTTATTTTGATTATGAGTTTCGCACATGGTGACTGACGCACCTTCATCTACGATGAGTAGGTTTCAAACCCCCTTCCGAGGTTTGTTTATCAAAGGGATGAGGTTGAGTAAAAACTGAAATCACTTCAGAAAACCCACTCCCACTCCTCCCAC